AAGCCCTCCCGCTGCCTGCTAACTCCTCATTGATGCTTCAAAACGGGCAAACGACCTAGAACCAACCCGCTCGTTTGAGTTGGATTTCCTTTTCTTCTTCTACTTCTCCCCTTTGTGATTATTTTCTCTGGTGATGTAGAGAGTCTGTTTACTTTTTAGAATTAAAAATTTTGGGGTGAGGTCTTAGCTTGAGAAGATCTTTTTGCATTCCTCTATGAGGATTTGGTGATCTGAAAGCTACAGTAGTCACTACGTCTGTGCTTGTCTTCTTTTGCTTGGACGGAGCTTTCGGCGAAATCTGCGTGTATCTGCAGTTATTAATCACAGAGTATAGCTGTTGGTTGCTATCTTTTCTTGGGATGTAGCGCGTGTTTGTAGTTTCAAAACTAAGCCCCACATCGAATATTTTTAGCTGGACTGAGACGAACGTTTTGTAGAAATAAAAGGGAACTTTGGAGAACTAAACTCTAAGCCTGTTATTTAGCTGGACTGGTTGTAAGAAATTGGGAACCTCTCGGATCAGTTTCAAGTATGCGGCTACCAAGTTCGCTCTATTCATATTTGAGAGCAAAAGACTAACCTTATGTTCTGCTGCTTCTGCAGGTGTATACCTCATGTCTGATACTTCTGGCCTCTCTCATGGTCCTTACCTTGGAACAACAACTTTCTGTTCCTTGGCTTCTCTGCTCATCTTGTTAATTAAGGCATCTGTTTATAGTCCGGTGCAGGACATTGGGCCTGAGCTCTCTCCATCATTACCAGATCACAAGCTCAATCTCAAGAAGCTATGGGGAATGCCTGTACTTTTCTTGTCTTCCTTGGTGTTTGCTCTTGGCCATGTTATTGTTGCTTACAGAACAAGCTGCAGGGCTCGACGGAAGCTTCTCATTCACCGCATTGACCCTGAATCGGTATTACTGCCATGCATTTGGTCTTCTAAATCTCACTTTGTCATCATTTTATAAATAACTTGTGGTTCTTGCTTTACAACTTGATCATTGATTGATGTTAACTTTGATGTTAAATTTGTTTTTTTCATACTGTTTTCAGATTTTAGCATACAAGAATGCCTTTTCTGGATGCTACAAGGTTCCACGGTCTCCTACACCATACAGTGGAAAGCTTTTTACAAGGAGTGAAAGTGAGACAAAGAGAAAAACACTTATCCAGGACGATCGTGATTTGCCAATCAGTTTTCTTGCAGACAGTGATAGCATGTTCATTGCTTGCCAGGGGATCACTATACACTACAAAGTTTCTGATCCAGCAGCCAGCCTACCTTCATCCCCTGACTCCTTTTCAGAGAGAGATACTCATCACGATGTAATTTCATCAAGCATTTCTCCTACAAGACAGAGACATGAGAGTCCACCATCTGCTTCCTCTAATACCCGCCGCCTTCTGAATAGGAGCTTTAGCCATCAATATCATCATACTTCGCTATATGCACCACTATTGGTCGAACCAGTGGCATCTCCAACTTTGTTGGATGATATCCCTCTGATGTGTCTTGATGATGGCAATGCTGATGGATGTTTGAATCATGTGGGCTTTGACCTTGAGGCTGGAGGGCAGGGTAAATTCGCTGTAGTTTTGGTACATGGATTTGGGGGGGGAGTATTCTCGTGGAGACATGTTTCCAGTTTGCTAGCTCGACAATTGGGCTGCACTGTGATGGCCTTTGATCGCCCAGGATGGGGATTAACATCTCGACCTCGCAGAAAGGACTGGGAAGATAAGAACTTACTGAATCCATACGAGCTGGAGTCTCAGGTGATCCTTTTCTCCACTCAAAATGCAAGTCTAGTGCCTGCAGCCAGCATTTGGTCAAAATTTTGATTTTATCACTTAGTATATACTTCACTGGAAAAAGGTCTCATAGAGCATTAAAAAAATAGTGCATAAACACGAGGAATCTTGTCTTCCTAGACCACATTTCTGTCAGAATCATTTTTTCATTTTAATAAGTATAATCACCTGAATGTATATTTCTACCATCCACCCTCAGGGTGGTATATATTTGTCTATGAAGTAATAAGTGTTCTATGCTACTAACAGCTTGTAAGAGGACACCTTTTTTTATTATTATAATAACTACTGTCTTAAATTTAGTCCAGTGGGCACAAAAAACCTCCTGCACTAAACATTGTATTTCCCTTTCTGTACTTAGAAGAGATCATGTTTACAAAAAGCATTTTGTATAATCATGTGTAGGTTGATCTTCTTATTTCATGTTTATAAACAACATTTTGTATGATCCTCTGCAGGTTGATCTTCTTATTTCATTTTGCTCAGAGATGGGCTTGCACTCTGTGGTTTTAGTTGGTCATGATGATGGGGGCTTGCTTGCCTTGAAAGCTGCGGAGAAGCTGCGCACTTGTGGAGGTGATAGAAAGGTACTTCCCTTTGAGAAATTAGCTTGTTTTTATATCGTTTTGTTTTGGATGGAAGTTAACACATCATGCAAGGTTGTACTGAATGTTATTTGTTTGCTTTTGCAGGTTGAAGTGAAGGGAGTAGTTCTTATTGGTGTAAGCTTATCAAGAGAAGTCATTCCTGCATTTGCTCGTATACTCCTGCATACACCTCTGAGGAAAAAGCACATGGTTCGACCACTTCTACGTACTGAAATCACTCAGGTCATCAATCGGCGGGCATGGTATGATGCCACAAAATTGACAACAGAAATTCTTAACCTATACAAGGTAAGCACACCTAGTGATTCTTACATCTCCCTTTAATATATTTTTCAAATCATTGATTTTCATGCAACTTTTGGGAATCTTTTGTAAAGATGTGATGCATATAACCTTGTGTTTATTGCACTGCTATTATTTTGTCCTGCGAAAGAAAAGATCCAAATCTTACTCCCTCCATTCCAAATTATAGGTCGTTTTGGGCTTTTCTATATACATATTTTTTATTATGTACTCTTCCAATTTATAGGTTGTTTTGGCATTTCTAGACATAATGTATATCTAGATACATATGTTCTTAGAAAAGCCAAAATGATCTATAATTTTGGGATGGATGGAGTAGTCCTATTCAATAACTAATTTCAGGACAACTATTTAGTATCTGGAGCCTTCCTGTTCCGTCCATGTGAAAGACATGCAATGTTAAAATGCACGTGCTTTGCTCATTCTGTGGACATTGAACTGTTGACCGACTTGAATTGATTTTGTGTAAGGCTCCGCTATTTGTTGAGGGCTGGGATGAAGCACTTCATGAAGTAGGCCGGCTTTCGTTTTCTACTGTCCTACCATCAAAAAGAGCGGCAGATTTACTAAGATCAGTGGAAGACCTTCCGGTTCTGGTGGTAGCGGGCTCCGAGGATGCTCTTGTTTCTGTGAAGTCGGCACAAGCCATGGCTTCGAAACTTGTAAATTCTGTAAGTAATCTTCTCCCATTTGTTAGTCGAGCGCGTGATTTTGTTAGGGACTTGATTTTGTCTGGCAGGTATTCTCAACAATCCACTGCTTTTTACTTGTGCAGAGGATAGTAACTATATCGGGGTGTGGACATCTGCCGCATGAGGAGTGCCCCAAAGCGTTGCTCTCGGCTCTTTCTCCTTTCATCTCTACATTGGTACCCTCAGAAGATTTGTTGCAAAGACTGTAGAATATACTCGTTGCTTTTCGTTTTTTTAAAGAATTTTTTCCAGTGTTTCCGTCCTCCACATTTAGTAGACCCCTCTAGTTGGTGAGTTTGTATGAGCCAATGTAGCGCGAAGTAGTAGTGGAGCCTGACCCAAAATCTCAAGGGTTCCTAGAGCTCCCCTGATTTTTTTTGTCACATGTAATGGTTTCCCCCTGAACGATTTCAATTAAGCAAGTTGAATCTGTACAGCACATGCTTTGTTCCGTTCCTCCTCAGCCTGGGTAGATATTATATATTTAAAGGACTGGGATAAGTGAAGCATTTTCGGTACTCAGCAGCACATGCCCTCATTGGCTTTGTGGCTGGTATATCATGTGCTGTGGATCCAGCAGGGGATGCCTAACAGTTCTTTTGAATGAACACAAGTGGTGGAGGTTGAGAGGTGTAGCTGAGCAAATAAATTTGAAGATCTTCCACTCTCAAGCGCCCACGACTCACGTGGTCCTGCTTTGTGATTCACAGGGAGCCCCAATGCTCTTGGTTGTGCCACCCACCAGGCGATGGGAAGTTGGCAGTTTGTTCATCAAACTTCACAGGCGATCACCGTGGCCTGTGGGATGCTTCAGATTGGTAGTTGGCTGTTTACACTCGCGGGATTGATTTCCGGTATGAGGTGTGTCCATCAGAATTGCTAGCATGGAACCATATGAACTCAATTAACAGGACTGTGAACAGACTCCTCAAGTTCACATAACATTGCCATGGTGTTGAATATTGATGCTGACAAAATGCAAGGTTCCAAGATTGGGCTGGGGCTTTTCCCATCCAGGCCTCGTTCAAATGCTGCGTTTGTAGGCCGCTTCTCTAGTCCATACAGGGCTGGCCCATCCAAGAATGAAACTTGCAGGCGGCTTCTCTAGCCCTAATGCGCTCAGCCGTTCAGAAACCAATAAAAACTGAAATAACAAAAACGAATTGAAATAGCAACTAAAATAAACTGAAAATAAACTGATGGGATCAGTATCTCACAAATTCATTGACTCACTTCCATTGAATGCTTGATCTCAAAAGACAGAAAAAATCATGTAATTACATTTTGTGGGCCCCTTCCCTTGGAAAAGAGAGGGCGAAACTACAGTCTACTGGACCAACTGACTACAAATTCATTTCCATGCTGGATACATCCTACAGCTTCAAAACTATCATGTATATACTTCAATTTACATGGCGGGCAGTTAGGGGGAAAAAAACCATGGTGGGCATGCACATCGTCGTCAATTCTTCAATGCGGAAGAGCTTCATTGGTGACTTTAATCATTATTATATACTTACCCATCTTGGATCACAAGGGCATATTTTCCCATATTGTGTGAAATTGAAATAAGGGCACCACAGTTGGCTCACTTATCGTTTGGTCTAATTTGCGCAACATCTGGCACCCAGTCATCACTGACGAGAAGAATATGATCACCGTCTCTGATAAGCTCCACCTCATCAATCTCAGCACCCCCAATTGTCAGGACCTTGGCAGGCTTGAAGCCGAACTTCTTTGCACCTAGTTCGAGAAGCTCAGTCATCGACCGTGGTAGGCGCACGAGCTTCCCTGCAGCGTTCCCCTTCTCAGGGCAGCTGATTGTCACCCTGATGAGGGAGTCGTGACGGCAACTTGGACCACCTGTTCCAGCAAGGCCTTTCGAGAGCAGACGGCCAGTGTCCTGGCGGGCCTGGGATGAAGAAATGACACCGAAAAGAGAATTTTGGAAACTGACCCTCTTTCTGAGGAGCTTCTGTGGAACAACTTTGCTGCGAACTTCGGCGTCTTCATGGTTCATGTTTGGCATTGAGGGTTCACTTTTGAACCTCCCTATTAGCATAGGTGCCACTCTGCCACTTGAGGCATGCTGCCTATGTGCTTTTCGTGATTTAAAGAGAACCTGAATGTCATCATGACCTTGCTGATCAGCTAGATCTCTTGCTGACCAGCCATTGTTGTCCTGCTTGTCGATGTCAGCTCCGTGTTCCAGCAACAACTCAACCATCTGAACATTCCCGTCACAGACCGCACGATGCAGCGGTGTGGTTCCATCTTTCGTTGAGCTGTTTATGTTGCCACCATAACGGATAATGTTCTTAAGCAGCTCAGCATCATTTTCCTCAACAGCGATGCAAGCATACAAGGCCGTGTCTCCAGATGATAGCTCTGCACCACTCTCTACTAACAGCTCTATCACTGCATTATGTTTTTCACATAAAGCCTCCCATAGAGGCACTTTTCCTTCGGAGTCTGTAATGGATGGAAGGGTAAAAGGAGGTGAACTTCAAGACTCGTGGCAACCAATGAAGCATGAATTCCTAACTAGTAAATTTAGTTTTCTTGGTGGCAAGAATATCACCAGCTCTGATCAATCTGTAAAAGATGTATCGCAGTTATAGTTTTATTCGTACCTCTAGCATTTGGATCAGCTCCGTAGTCTAGAAGAAGCTTGACACATTGTTCGTCTCCTTTGGAAGCAGCTATATGCTGTAAATAATGAAATGGATACTGTTAAATTTCTTGCTTAACAGAAATATGTTCACTCACACATATGAATCAATGGATATGCATACCAGTGCCGTATGCCCATTGTTATCTGATTCATTTGGATCCAAACCACGCTTCAAAAGTTGATGTAACATAAAATCATCTCCTTTATTTACTGCAAAGCAGAGGGTAACTGGCAAATCCAGATGACCCCGTGCTAGCATGTTCTCAATCTCCTTCAGAACACCCACCATTACACTGTTGTCTTTCTGCTCTTTTAGTAACTACAACCACAATAAAAAAAAAAAAAAATCATAATCTCAGTAGTAGATTTAAAACCAATGGAATTTCAAAATACATTCTCACTATTATTGTGGCTGGTGATTATCAGGACCATGAAAGGAAAAAGTCATGCCACAGTTAACATGACTCAAGAACCTAATATACGGCCTAGTGATTACCTGAGAATAGAATATCGACTTACACATATTGTTAAGCAAGATAATACAGGGATAATAATGGAAACCTGATCTAAATGAGTAAATGGGTTGGTTCAGCTTCCTTTTGACCTTTTCTATGTCAAAACTCTACAAGTACAAATCGAATATAACTGAAATATGCAACATCAAAGAAAATTAGGAAGAATAATGTTGTTCCTGTACCTGCATAAGGTTGTTCATTATTATTGTTCCATCTGCAACATTGGATTGAACAAGGCTGAGAAAGGCAGTGCGATTCATACGCAAAAGCTGGCATAATGATTTTGTTCGAACTGTGAATAGTTGGGGCCTATAGCAAAGAACCCCAATTTCTCCAACAACATCTCCTGCCTTAGCCACTCCAGCAATCTGCAGGTACCAGCATATTATGTTAAAAGGACAATGTGATCAATAAATTCACTGCCACTTGAGCATCAAAGCGCATAAGACTTGCCTGTTCTCCGCCATTTCGCAACTCTATCAACTCCTGTAGAAGTGACAAGCATATCAGAATGACCATGTGATTTGGTTTCTGCGCTATTGATAGCAAAACTACTACTTTTCTTCCCCAAATTTATTTATGCATAACAGTATCCTTACCGCGCTACCAGTAACTAAAATATAAAAGTCTGTGGGTGCTTCATTCTGCAGAATCACATCTTCCCTAGGTGGAAAATATTCAGCTTTCATCTCAGAAACCTTTTCCATGGAATAACACAAAGCAAGATAAGTACATGATGAAGCAGTAGCAAAACATTTTAAATGGATACAAAATGGATTTTTCATAGCCTCACCAGTTGAAAAATCAGGTCATTGGACACCCCTTCAAACAAGTAAACCTTTTGGACAAGATTGAAAAACAGATACTGAGAAATGCTGGATCTTATAGCCTTAGGAAGTGCATCGAGGGTCTCTTGTTGTTGAAGACCTTCTGAATCTGTCCTGAATTTCAAGCTAAGATGTGAGATCATCTGATCTTGGAGCCGACTTGGTAACTGATTCCTTAGTGCAAAGCTGGTTGCTGCTTGAATTGTATCTCTCTTTAGTCCAAAACATAACAGAAAAAAGCTATTAGGTGCAACTTCAATATGACTCTTATAAAGGTTGATACCAACAAAGACTAAACAAAAAAGTGAAAAAAAACTCACATATTTTCGAGTACGGCTGGTGCCATGGACAACCAGATTGGTCATGTTACCAATCAAATAGGCAGTCAATCCAAGATTGAATAGCATGTAGAAAATGTTGAATATCATCTCCCTTGTGTTCTCCGCGTGCAAATCACCATAACCCACAGTGGTAAGAGTAGTGATTGACCAATACACTGATACTACATAGCGTATCCACAAACCCCGCTGATGAAAATCTGGCATCGAATTGCCAATCCACGTATCCGTTGGGACAGGATACCTATCAGCGAGAAGATAGTAGAAGCATGCCGAACAGTGGACAGCAAAAAGCGTGACCTACAAGATCAAAGGCAAGCAAATAAGATGTCATTCGTCAACAATATTGATTTACAGGAGTCTCAAATGGACTGATTACTTACACATATGAGCTTTGCACATCGAACCCAGAAGTAATTGAAATGTCTATCTTTCTCCAATCTAGAAAGTAAGAAGTTTAGGTGAAAACATTAGCTAGCCTTTTTAATAACAAGACAAAATAGTGATAAATGGCACTGCACAAATTGATTATCATGCAACAAAGCATTAGTCTCATATACAAATACACTGCACTCAAAACACATACACCATTGTTAACATACCTAGCAAAGAGAGAGCTGACTCTACGGAGACGCCATAGACGAAGCATGTTGAAAAAACCATATGACCTGAGGTTTGGTGGTAGTATCTTCCGAGCAAATTCACTTGGGATGGTGGAGGCCACGTCAAGAACAAACCAACTGGTAGTATACCGCCAAGCTATCCTTTTTGGATCATCTTCAAGCAAGTATGTCATTCTATCCAAGTAAGCTACAAAGAAGGTCAGGATGATGTCCACTGCGAAGAACGCATTCACGACATTGTCCACTGCAGCTAGGGCGCCCGTTGGTTTCCGAATGAAGCCAAACTCAAATGGGGAAACCCATGCAGAATATACCACAAGAATTATGAGAAAAGTCTCCCAGCATCTGCATAGAATCAATAACCATCAGAACCACTTCTTCGTGTTGTAACTAAAATATCATTTATCACCAGCAAAATCGTCCTGCTTATGCAAGGGTGAAGCAACAATATCTATGCAAAATTAGTTTTGTTAACTATTAAGGCATAATTGCTGTCAGGTAAAACTACTACTGAAGTAGTGCTACAGTGACTATGATTACTACTAACTACTCCCTCCATCCCAAATTGTAAGTCATTCCAAGAATCTTGGAGAGTCAAACTTTTTCAAGTTTGACTAAAATTATAGAGAGAAACACAAAGATTGATGACATCAAATAGGTATAATATGAAAATATAACTAATGAAGAATCTAATGATACTTACTTGGTATGATAAATATTATTATTTTGTCATATAAATTTGGTCAAACTTGAAAAACTTTGACTCTCCAAGATTCTTGGAATGACTTACAATTTGGAATGGAGGGAGTATATAGATGATTACCTTCTGAAAAAGGAACACTGCAGAAAAACTGACCAATTATGTAATCAGAGTTTCAATCTTCTGTAACGATGTTACGTTTGTAAATAAATTATGTAAAAATCGGGGACAGCCCACACTGATTATAATAAAGTAATAAACTAAAGAGCACACCAAAAAAAAGTTGACCAATCATGTAAGAAAAACGGGCAAAAGAAAAGCTACCCTGGAAAATACAGACATGTCACCCACGATAACTAAACAACTCAGTAAATTACAAAACGATTCAGAAAAGTTTTTCCAGAAAAGTTTTTTCCACCAGAATCCCGAGAATGAGCACTTTGGACAACGAATCGTTGCATAAAGAAGCGCAGAACGTGAATACAAGAAATGCAGAGACGTTACCATCGATATCACGCCTCTCTTGTCTCTCTAGGAGTTAAAGGAAAATTAAAGCAGATGCGAACGATCTAAGAAACCAAAGTAAACAAAATCAAAGCAGAAGTGCGACTTCTAAAAAAGGCAAAACATAAACAAATCAATTATTGACTTCAAAAAGGGAAAAATAATTATTCAGTCCAGGTCAAACAAAGAAAGCAGTTAAAATATATAAAAATCCGCTATCTGTTTACAATCGAAGAGAATTGGAGACAAAAAAACGAAAAGAAGGCAGTGCACGGGTACAAACAACTTTGAGCTACAAAAAACAAAAGAATTCACAAGCCACCCCTTGTAATTCATGGAAACATGTGAAGCACTTTGGAACTCAACAATTAGTGAACCACATACGAAGAGAAAGCTCGGCCGCTATATTCAACCAGAATTACAATACTCCAAGCAACTCTTCGCCGAGCAGCACCAAAATTAGAGCAGGCAGAGCAAGCCACCGGTGAGGCAAAAGCAACAGGCCAACAATGCAACGACAACAAGCCAAGCCACGTTTCAATCCAGCCCACAGAGATTGAAACCGGTAGGCAGGATGACACAGCTAGGCAAGCAGAACCGAACGGGAACTAGTAGTAACGAGGAGGACGCGGGCGGGCGCGGCGAACCTGTATCGGCGGTCGTAGGGCGAGACGATGAAGGGCCTGAGCTTGGCGCGGCGGTTGCTCCGCGCGCCGAGCGACGGCAGGATGCCGCTGGAGATGCTGTAGTGGCTGCCGTCTCGCGACAGCTCCCTCTCCAGCGCCGCGCCGCGGCCGCCCCACGGCCCGCACGCCGCCACCCAGGAGGATCCCCACCCTGCCATTGGCCCCCACCGCTCGATAAACCCACCAGGGGTTTACGGGGAGAGAGATGGCGAGGGTCGTCGGAGCGCCCCCGAATCTGGTAGCCCGTGCGTGATTGATTAACTAAGGATCGGATTGTCTAGTAAATCTTTCCCCTCGTGTTTCTATCTATTTTCAGCTTTTGGGCGGCGACGGCCGCGGCGGAGGCGCGGGCGGTGGCAGAGCGCGGGCGTGGGAGGAGAGTCGGAGCGGACAGCGGAGTTGGGTTGGGTGCGGGAGCAAGCGCGCGCGCTTGGCGCCGTTTTATGGAGTGTCATCTTACGGTAAGATGACACGGGAGGGCTTTCCGGTACACGGGATTGCCTTTTGCCCCTCTGCCCGCTCGCGCGCACGGCGCACTCTTGGCCGCTTGTGAAACGCGGGAGGGGTGCGGGACTGCGGCCTGCGGGGTGCCCACGGATCGTTTGGGCGCCGCGGCGCGGTGCCGCTGGGCTGGCTGCCTATCTCCAACACTCAGTGACACGGGCGGCGGCGCAGAGAGGAAATACCATGGGTTCCGCTGTACACCGGTCCAACCTTTCAAAAGAAACAAGAGAGCCTCCGACCCGGCGTGTGTACCCCGTGTGGAACGTGGGTATTTGTGTGGTTTCTGCTTTCGTCAAAACGTTCTTGTAAAATAAAAAATTGTGAACCCGTGTAATATACAACAATACGCCGATGTAGTCTCTTGATATATCCTGACAAAGTATTAGTCAACCAACGTGTCATTCGTTGTGACATGTATAGTGTTAGAGCGTGTTCTAGACTGCACAATGGATTTCGGATGGTTTCGGATGATTCAATAGTGTTTTGTGAGAGTGAATAAGCTGAAACAAGCTGAAACAATCCGTAAGGTGACCAGCCGAACACGCTGTTAGGATTTAAGCAATTTTATACATAATTCAATCCAAAAAATATCAATAAGTTTGTGACAATAAATATGTCGCCAGGAACAAGGAGTTGTCGCGCGATAAAGTGCACTCTCCAAAAACCTATGCTCTGTTCCCTTGGCTGATAAGTCATATCTGAAAGTACTGTTGACTGATTTGTTATAAGAGAAAATACTGTTCGTTGACTAAAAAAGTACGGCTTATAAGCCAAGCGAACAGGGCGCTAATTCGCCTGCACACCCGATCAGGTGTCACAGGGCCTGCTCTTCCAACCTTCTGTGCGCATAGAATATCGAAATGAAAAATACTTGAAAGTACAATCAAGCTCTAATCGTGGGTTTTGGTGATAATGACCACATAATTAGAGGACTAATGAGATTTATTGAGATGACAAGCAGAGAATCTAGAATTGAGGATGTTATACGAAATGGAGGAGCCCCCAGTTACAAATGATGACGGCTTCGAACTCAAAGAAGGTTTAAATTTTTTTATATTTCGAATTTAAGTGTAGGAATACCGTACTATAAAGGAGGACACAATAAACTTGCTAAAGTGTGCAACCAAGTGCTCAATCTTATACACATACATCCTTAGTTGCTCAGCCAAGACAACCATCTTTTCACTGATTTCAACCTTGCTATCTTGCCTGGTGCGGCAGTGCCACACATGAAGAGAGCCGCTGCCGCAGTTGAGCCGTAACTGCCGCAACTTAACTGACCGTTGGGGGTTGAGGGTATTTATACCTCTCACACTTCTCTCCAACGGCTCTTTTTCCACCTCTGACCATTTCCGATCGACCAGAACAGAAAGTGCTCATTCTATCTCTTCTCTGTTGGTGACCTTGAGCTCCTAAGCATTTCTTGTGATTTCGCCATCAATCCTTGAGAGAAAAGGCTCTAAAACTCGATTAGAGAGCAGATCTACTGATCTCCAAAGCCTAAGAGCACTTGGTTTACGTTTTTGCCTATGGATTATGTTTGTTACTCTTGGAGCTTGCTCCTAGCCTGCTAGAGCGTCGTCTGTGGAGCTTGCCAACTTGTGTGGCTGCCCCGAGAGGTTTGTAACCATCTCTTGAAGCTAGTAAATTAATCCCTCACCTCAAGAGTTAACTCTCTTGACTTGAGATCAAGAAAGGGTTGCAAAGCCCTAAGCCTTAGTGAATAAACACAACAACGTAGACTTAGGCAAGTCTTGATGACGAGCTAAACCACGGGATAAATACTTGTGTCACCTTGTGCTTGTTTTTCTTACATTGCATTTTATATTGTTGTTGAGGTGATTTTTAGGGTTTGAGGTCGATTTACTTGTATACTCTTGTGCTACCACTTCTAGCTGTCGTTCTGTGAACTATATACCTGCAGAAAGCTCAGTAATTTCTCTGATCTAAGTTTTCATTCATAGTTTTTGAACTGTGCTTCGAAGTTGTCTGCAGGTCCGGCAGTGCCGTAGCTCGGCAGTGCCGCGGGCTCAGAGCAGCAGTGCCGCGGGTTGAATTTGACGTTTGCTCAAGTTTTGTTTTAACAGGCCTATTCACCCCCCTCTAGGCTAACCAGAGATCCTACAATACTTCGTAAAACCTCGAATAAAGAAGAGAGGGTGTGGTCTGGTGTACGTGCGAGCGGAGAAGACAGAGAGTCGAAAGTACACATCTGGATGGACAATGTTATGAGACGGAGTAATCATACGAAGTAACGGATAGAGGCTCCCGTAACAACTCTAGGTAACTGCCCAACTAATGGCTCTATCAATCGACTCAAGTGGCAAAACCAGCCCACCCCGCATCATATCATGTCGTGGCGCAGCTCGGCCTATGCACGTCAAGCTCATGCCACAACACGACTCAGCTCGGTGCTTGCGCACACGTATGCGGCATGTCATTCGTCTCTCTCAACTTCACTACGGGTGCACACCTAGATCAACTATTTAAGTTAAGTCAACGTTTGATCAAAATTTTGTATAGGACTAAGAATTTATTGTACCTAACATTTAATATGGGCTTTGGGATTTATTTTTTTATTAAATAAAAAATGAGCCAAATTAGACTCTACAACTACTTCCTCCGTTCCTAAACAACTGTGGCTATTGGTGTGCATGCCACAAATTTGACTTGATTTGTAGAAAAAAAACCCGAGCCTTTTGGAGTTAGACTATTATGGGAGGTGGGCTTCGCCAGAGTGCCATCCCGTAATATGGCTTTGCTATATCGTCATTATGAAATATGACCACTATGTCAAAATGCCATCAGAGAGCTTTGACACTCTTTTCTTCCTCTCCTACCCCTGCCCCTTTCTTTTTGTTTCACGCACGGAACGCTCCTCGGACGGAACCCAGGGGTCGCAAAAACGGATCGAGCAGGCTGCTGCTGCTGCTTCTCCGACGACGGCACGGACGGCGGCGAAGCTGGGTGGTACGACACGCACGAGCTCGCGCTGGACGCCATCTTCCGCAACCGAATGAAGCGGTACGAGTGCCTGACCAACCGCTCCGCTGCGGCCTCCGCCGTGTTCATCCCGTTCTACGCCGGTTTCGACAAGGCCACCAGGGACGCCGCATCGGCAGACCTGTCGTTTTGGCTCACGGTACAACCCCAGTGGCGGCGCATCGCAGGGCGCGACCACTTCCTCGTTGCCGGGCGAACAGCGTGGGACTTCCAGAGGAGCAGCGGCGACGACGTGAACGCGGACAGGGGCAGCGGCCTCCTCGTCACGCCAGTCGGCCGGAACATGTCCCTGCTCGTGCTTGAGTCCACGCTGAAACACGGCAGCGACTTCTCCGTGCCGTACCCGACCTACTTCCACCCCAGGTCCGACGCCGACGTGCTCCGGTGGCAGGACAGGGTGCGCGGCCAGAAGCGGATGTGGCTCATGGCGTTCGTGGGCGTGCCACGCCCGGACGTTGCGACGAGCATCCAGGTCCAGGATCGTGTCATCGCGCAGTGCAAGGCGTCCTAACGTGTCATCTAAGAGGTCACGTCTCCACTCCTATCCTAAACCTCTGTTGCGGTGCACAGGGGACAGGGGTGAGAGGAAACTTTTGAACGCGATCGAGCTCGCGCTTTTCCCCGTTGCGCTTGTGCCGTCAGAAAGCCCGACACACAACCGGTCCCGTGCAGCCGAGCGGTGGCAGGCAAACAAGGGTAAAAAGGGGAGCCTGCAAACGTCGCGCTAAGTACTCGCACTAGCACCAGCTGCCTATAGTGGGGCAGGCGGCTGCGGGAGCGAGCTCGATCGTGTCGTGTCCGCTTCTGCCCTCGCCCAGCATCGGGTCGGATCTGGCGGCCGCTTTGCGTGTCTGCCAGGCTTCTTCCTGCCGCTCTCGCGCTCTTTCTTTGCCGTTGCAAAATACAAATTCCAGAGCTTCATGTCAAACCTTCGTTTCCCTGGCCGCCTTTCCTCCTTTATTTTACCTTTTCTCGCCTCCTTCTACCTCGTTTCTGCTCACTTCTGGTTTCGTATCACAGCTTGATGCTTCCCGCTTTTGGAAAATTTAGCCGCCCTTTTTTTTAGCTCATCCATGATTTGCGTTTTTTCTTCTTCTGATAAATAAAGGTGTTCTGCGTATTAATTAAAGTGCGTGTCCAACTGCGTTAGCTCATGCATGAACCTGCGTTTCCAGTACGGGTTTGGACGTGCTGGATTTTTTAGCCTGGGTGGGCATTAGGTAGGCATTAGCTACTAGTGCCAGGGTGCGCGCGCAAGCGCTGGACTCGGTACTAAGTACCTGCTGTTCTCCATGACCGGCCTTGGGGGCGTCGCTGCCGTGCTGTACTCTATGGCCGGCGTGGGGGAGGGCGGCGGGGAGGCGCTATAGTCGCGTGGCCAAGGCGAGGCGGGCGGGCAGGCGGGCGACGCTGGGCGTGGGGACGTGGGGAGGCGGGCGGGTGTGGGGAGCTTGCTATGCTTGGAGAAGATGAGCGCCGATCCGTTTTGCGACCCCTCCGTTCCGTCTGAGCAGTGTCCCATGAAAAAAAAGGAAAGGGCAGGGGCAGGGGCAGAAGATGAAGAAAAGAGCCCCAAAGCTCTCAGATGGTATTTCGGCGTGGTGGCCATGTTTGATAATGGTGATTTGGCGAAGCCCCGTTGTAGGATGGCATTCCACGACATAATGGTCTAACTCCAAAAAGCTCCCCTATCTAAGGCTAGAGAGAAAAATATCTATCTCCCAAGCCAATAACCTGCTGGTACATCTCCGCCTCTGCCTCCGACTTCCGTCGTGCATGCCCCTCCTCGCATCCTCTGCCTCTCCTGACACTGCCATCCGCCCTCTCCCACGCCCTCTGCCTCTCCCTCCAGGAAGTGGCGAACACCCTCGCTGGTGCGCCGTGCCCTAGTCCAAATTACATCCAACAATCTCCACCAAGTTCTAAGACACATATAAAATGCTATCAAATATCTATTGTTTGATACACCACTGTTTTAGTGGAGACTGTTAAGTCGAACATTCATCTAGAACAGATAGTACACTTTTTTATAACCAAATAATGAACTATGTCCTAAATTAATATTTTTGTGTAAAATAAGTTCCACCGAAGTTCTTTACTTCTACTAGGCTGCTAAAAACATCCCTCTGATTGGAGCATATAAGTCAAACTTTAGGGCTGAAAGCATCTAGGCCCCTAAGTGGATTTCGGTGATTAATGTCAATATAAGATTACTATGACTAACGTGTGTTTTGCAGAGGCAATTAAGTTAGGTCATGGTAATGGAGATCGATTGGGCAATTGAGGTTGTCATGCCCCTACGATGGAAATCGTTTCGGTTTTCAATGGATGGACGACAAGGTTAAGGATAACTAGTTCTAAGTGTCAATTGAAGTTGGAGAGACACTTAGAGTAGTTTAGGACTTTGTTTTTCCTTCAATGTACTATGAAGGGGGGGTATGAACGGGTAGCTTGACCTAGTTGAGTCTAGTGAGTTAGGTGTGGTGCACACTTGTTAAAACTAGCTCTAGGTAGCTCCTATGAATGCCTAAGATCCTTTGGAGCTAACTTCATTCACATATGATCAAAAGTTGAAAGTGAATGGAGGGTCAAATCTTTGACCGGATGACTGGTTCGGCAAGACCGGACGCTGGACGCAGGGTCCGGTTAGTTCATTTGACTGAGGAGAACAAGTCTGGAGTGACCGGACGCTGGAAGGTCGTGTGACCGGACGCTGAAGGCCAGCGTCCGGTCGACTCCAGTAAGGGTTCAGACTTGAGAAAGTGTGACCGGACGCGTCCGGTCAGTAGTGACCGGACCCTGAGTATCCAGCGTCCGGTCGTTTATAGTAAGCATCCAAGAGCGACCGGACGCGTCCGGTCGGTACTGACCGGACCCTGACAGCGTCCGGTCATCACGTGAAAACTGTTGCGCAGGTTGAACTGACCGGAGCGTCCGGTCAAAGCGATCGGAGCGTCCGGTCACCCCGTAGAAGCTCATAACGGTTCGTTTTTCAGGCTGCCTTATAAATAGTTGCTCCACTCGTGAATGGAGTGACTTTTGCTTATTCCAACAGCTGAGAAACACGTTTGTAAGTGCAAGAAGAGCAAGGTCCTAGTGAGGTGTTTGTGATTTGAGAATCCAAGAGTGAAACCTCATTAGTGAATCAAGAGTAGACAAGTGTGCATCCATCTTCTCATTAGGCTTCGCGTGGTCAAGTGAGAGTTCATGCTTGTTACTCTTGGTGATCGCCATCACCTAGACGGCTTGGTGGTGATTGGGAGCTTGGTGATCACCCGGCGGAGCTTGTGGGTGACCCAACTCAAGTTGTGAGCGGTTTTGGGTGATTCGCCGCGATGGAGTGTCGAAGAATCAACCCGTAGAGAGCACTTGATCCTTGCGCGGATCAAGGGGGAGCTACACCCTTGCGCGGGTGCTCCAACGAGGACTAGTGGGGAGTGGCGACTCTCCGATACCTTGGCAAAACATCACCGCATTCCTTTCTCTCTCTATTTACTTTGAGCACTTACTTTGAGTATTTACTTTGAGCAATTCAATACTTGTTTCATATTCATAGAATTGCTTGCTAGAGTAAGTTTGGAACATAGGTTGCGAGGTTGTTGTGCATTAGTTTGATATAAACACTTTTCTAGGCACAAGGGGTTAATTGGGCTATCCGTAGGATTTGATTATTGCAAGAAAATTTAGAATTAGCCCAATTCATCCCCCCCTTGGGCATCTTGATCCTTTCAATTGGTATCAGAGCATCGTGCTCACGTTTTTAAGCCTAACCGCTTAGAGCAAGATGTCTCACGGGGATGGACCTCCTCCTATCTTCGAGGGGGATGATTTTCCATATTGAAAAATTCGCATGGAGGCTTACCTAGAAGCTCTAGATGTTAGAATTCTTAGAGCCGCCTCTCAAGGGTTCCCAACACCTAAGAATGCCGCACAACTTCAAGGCGATGAAGTAAACTATGAAAAATGGAATGCAAAGGCTCGCAACACCATCTTTAGAGGCCTTTGCAAAGATGTGTTCAATCGTGTAAGGAACCACAAAGACGCCCATACACTATGGTCGGACGTTTGTGCGCTCCATGAGGGAACCAAGAGTGAGCGTGAGGAACGCTATCATCTTGTGATTAAAAAGCTAAATTCTTTTGAGATGCTTCCCAAAGAAAGTGCAAATGAAATGTATTCTCGTTTGAATGTTCTTGTAGAGGAAGTCAATGGGCTTGGACTTACTTAAATGTCACCATCCGACGTTGTGAGAAAGATCTTGAGTGTCCTCCCCATTGACAAATATGGGCACATTGTGACCGTGCTACATCAAGGTGATCTTTCCGCCGCTACACCGACACAAATCTTGGGAAAGATCAATGCTCATGAGATGTACATGCACATCACGCCACAAGATGGCTCAACCTCTACAAAGAAGAAAGAGAAGGACTTAGCATTCAAAGCTAGCCAAGATAAGGGCAAGGCAAGACTTGAGTATGAGAGCTCAAGTGATGAAGATGATGAAGAAAGTCTTGCTCTCATGGTGAAAAAGACCGCCAAGATGCTAAAGAAGCTAAACAAGAGTGGCATCAAGTTTGACGGCAAGAAGAAGAAGTTCTTCACTAGCTCAAGAAGAAAGCCAATCTCCGAGATGGATTGCTACAATTGTGGCAAACTTGGCCACCTAGCTCATCAATGCACAAAGCCCAAGAAAGACAAGTTCAAGAACAAGGGCAAGAAAGATGATTCAAGTGATGAAGATGAAAAGAAAAAGAACAAGCCATACAAGAAGAGAGATGGCAAAAAGAGAGACTTCTATAAGAAGAAGAAGAGTGGCAAGGCCTATATTGTCGGTGATTGGCTCACGGACATTGATTCATCAAGTGGTTCATCCGATGATGAGAGTGACAATAAGAAGGTGGCCGCCATTGCTATTGATCTTGCATCCTCACCGCCACCATCGCCATCATCCTCTACACACCTATGCCTTATGGCCAAGGGTGAACGCAAGGTAACTAAGAGTGATGATAGTAGTGATGATGAGCAAGCTAGTGATGATGATAGTGATAGCGATGATGATTCACCCACATATGATGATCTTGTCAAAATATTAAGAAAATATACTAAGATCATTAGAAAGAGTAGAGCTACTAATGAAAAACTTGATGCTAAAAATGATTCACTCTTAGCTAAGTGTGATACATTAGAAAAGGCTAATGATGAGCTCAAAGAAACAAATGATTCTATATCATCCAAACTCAAGGAGCTCAAATCTTCTAAGAAAGAGCTTAAAGATAAACATGATAAACTTGAGTGGGTGCACAATGAGCTTATCATTAGTCACAACAAGCTAAAAGATGAATATACAACTCTAAAGATCAATTATGATACCCTTGTTATTGCACAAGAATTCTTACCAAATGAGCCACATGTTGCTACTAACCATGTTGTTAAGATTGATATAGCTACCTCATGTGATGATTTAATTGATGAGAGCATTAAGCATGGATCTAGTAGCAAAGGCAAGCAAGT